TAAAAATAAGTATGAAAAAGTATCATTGTAAGAAATGCGCTCTTAACAAACAGACCCTACTTAAAGTATCATCACATAATCTACTCCTCAAAGGATTGCATATATAGCCAGCAGCTGAAAAAACTCGCTTGGCCTCTACACTTGTTGGTGATATGGTCATCAAGTAATTATGAGCTATATCTAGAAACTTGCCTCTTACTCCATTATTTTCATAGGTAGACATTTCCTGCTTCAATAATCTATCAAAGTCTAAAGAATCTAAATTTGGTATCTCCTTTACATTTTCTGTCCAGCTTTTCTTGTCTTTCTGTATATGATTTTCCAATTCTTTTTTCAGCGATAGAAATGTAGGAGTAAGTATTTGGGAATTGCTAATAGAATCTACAGCTTCTTTTTCTTTGAGTTCATTTTCTTTGTCTTTATTTCTTTCAATTGTATAAACTTTTGTCAATATTTTTTTTATTTCTTGACGCATAACGGTTCTCTTTGGCATTGAAAAAGTATTTTCCTTTTTTTTAATTTCTTGTTCATATTTATTAGGATTTTGTAAGTAAACCAGTAGTCCATTTAAATTCTTATAACGACATTGAGTAAACCTCTCACGCAGTGCCGCAGCTAAATCAATGCTCAAAAGTGATGATTGCTTTTGTAATTTATCTAACATAAATTTAAAAGTTGTTTTGGCAGTGACAAGGTTCGATTCTCTTCTGCATGATAGTTCGAGACCAAGTTTAGTGGTGCCAGATAAATAATTAAGTCATTAATTTGGAACCATTCTTTTTGGGTCAAACGAATTTTTGACCCAACATCAATTAAGGCTTTTTCAATACACACTTTTAGTCTATAAAATCTTTCTAACATATCGAACATACTGTTCCACCTAGTTTTACAATCAAGAATCAACTTAAGCTTTTTGCCGTGTTCATGTAGGATATACTTCTGTAAATTTCATGCGGTAGTGGTGTAGTGGTAAAACACTCGCTTCATAAGCGAGAGGTTCTGAGTTCGATCCCCACCAGGTCCCTGGTAGTACCGTGCTCAACTTGTTTCTCCGCGCAGCGGCCTTGTTTGTCAAGGTTCATGTTTCGGAGTTATGGAGTTGAGAGAGGGTTATGACTTTTAAACGTATACTAAAGAAAAATTGGCTCATTTGCTTGTCTGTTAAGCTCTTCCTGAAAAGTATTTTTATTTTTAGTTTTGAATTTTAATATTTATGGGCTGCAGTTTTGTCTCATGCTTTTTGTTGCAGCTTTGTAGTACGATTCTTCGACTTCTCCATTGTTTTTCTTGTATAAGATATCAATAACTGCAAGTTGTATTCCATGAGCATAACATAGTTGATGATAGCAAGACATCATTTTACTGACTTTCACCATCACACTTGCATCATCAGTGGTCATGGCAATAATGTCTTTTTGGAGGTCGATATTGAAACTATTTAGCCTTCCTGCTAACTTGACGCAATATTCTGCATTACACGATCCATGGATTCAAATCAATCCAAGATTAATGTGTTTTGCCTCCACATGTACATTTAAATTAAGGTATCTCTGACTTTTTTGTGATGTCCAATCGTCAAACATTATTGAAAACTTTTGATTTTGCTTTTTTAGTGATATAAATATTTGCATTATATCGGCAGAATCTGAGAATTTTACTACCATCGATCTTATAGTATTAGGTGAAGTAGGGAGCCGGAAACCACTCTTTGAAAACAAATACCGCAAATCTGAAAATGTGCAAAAACTATTACATGTAAAGCCATCTTTAGCAACCATGCGTGATACCATTTTTTCCATAACAAGTTCTTTTACGAAAAACATGTCTATTGTTTTGACCTTTTTTGATAGAATTACCTCTTCGTCTTCGCAGTCCATGTATATTTTAGACTCTAGTTAAATTGATTCATGCTGTTTTGAAGTTGAAGCTCCATCTTGTTGTAAAACGTTTAATTTTAAATCAGTTCCATGTTTAGTTTTTAAATGGATTAATAACCCTTTTGTTGATCTTTGACTAATTTTTAAAATAACCGAACATAACATGCACTTTGCATTTTCTTCTTTATTACTTTTTTTAAAATTATTCCATATAGTTTTTAATTTGCGACATGCTTAGTAGGTACTTTTGTTTTAAAATCTTGATGTAAATAATTTTTGTAGTCTTTTTAAAAAGTAGTGCGCTTTTTATTAATCACGTTTTCAAAAGTAGTGCGCTTTTTATTAATCACGTTTTCAATTTAACGTTTTCAACATACTCCTCAACAAAAATTTCAATATACTCATTAGCAAAAATTTCAACATAGTCATTAATAAAACAAAAAAAATTTGAACGAGTTTCACAGTATACATTTCATTGTGCACTTAATGACTATTTTATGACTAATCATTAACAAAACAAAACAAAAATTTGAACGAGTTTTTCAGTATACATTTTATTGTGCATTTAATGACTAGTAAACTTTTAAATGAATTTGTTATGCAAATACATTAAATACTTTAATTTGATATCTTTTTCGTCTTTGTTTATAAAATTGGTTTTTTTAATTTAAAAGCAATAATTTCAAAACTCAGCAAATCCTGCGGATCCCGCAGTAGTTTTTGCGGGATCTTGCATGCGCTAAAAGAATGTGGGATCCTGCGGGATTGCGGGATCCCACATTATTTTGCGGATCACGCAATGCGAGATTGCAATCCCTATAAGTAACAAAATGCTTCAAATGTTTTTTTTAATTAAATGAACAAGTTATATTTAAATTATTAAAAAGTCTATAATATTTTTAAATTGTATAAACATTTTTTATTATTATTATTATATATAATATTTTTAAATTTTTTTTTCTAAAAAGTTGAAAAACAAATTTGTTTAAAAAAAATAACCTCGTCTTTTTAAAATAATGAAGATTCAACATTGGAATCAGACTAAAAACCATTTTATATTTTTTCTTATTTACATTTGCACCCAAGAAACAGATATTGGAATATTTTGTATCACATTTGTATCACATTTGCATCTTATAAAAAAAAAAAGGTCTTCCATTTCTAAATTATTATAGGACTTTCAGGATCTGGTAGGGGTTGGGGGAAAACATTTCCCCCATATTTCCCTTGTTCTGTCGCTGCCAAGAAATAATTATGTTGAAAGAATATATTAACTAAATAATTCCTATTTAAGATGCAAATTTAGATTAAAGACAACTTAAATTATAAGAATATTACAAAAAAATGTTACATTATTAAAAAAAATGATATAATATTCTTTGATAATTTAAATAAAATGTGTCTGCAATTTAAATAAAATATACTGCCGAAAAGCAGTTTAATTTAATTTTAATTTGAGCATCGCAAAGCAATTTGTAACTTTATTAATAAGCATTTCATGTAACAAATTTAAAAATTAATACATAAGATTCATTCATGCCTATCCAGATTGAAGGAAAACATATGATGACATTGAATATAATAAAAATAAAAACATTACAAAATACTTCAAAACTTTTACATTAATCAACAAAACACATGCTTATGTAAGTAAATTATAATATAAGTATATAAGTTACTTAATATTCTCATATAATTTTTAAAAAATGTTCTTACACTTGTTCTTACATTCGATCTTAACAACTAGTTACAGAAAGTTTTGAGAAAGTTTTTCTTTCAAAAAATAATGATTGAAAAGAATTTAGAAAGACGTGGAAAAATAGTTTCAAACATTTAAATTTATCATAAAAAACAAACTTTTTTTGTTAATTAACACTAAATGCACTTGTTTTAAACGATCATTACAATTAATTTTTTAAAGCCTTGATGTAAAATAAAAATTTTAAAAACCTAAAAAGTTTTATTTAAAACCTTCACGTAAAAAAAAAACTTTAGATCCATGATCAAAAGTTATTTGTAATGCAACAATTTTTTTAAATTGCATTTAAATAGTTAAAACATCTAAACAGCTGTGGTCAAATTGTAATGAAATAAAAATTATAAGTGTGATCAGTTACAGCCTGCGATCGCACGCCATTCCTGTCCAAGCCTACTCCAAATGAACCTACTGATGGAGAAACAAGTTATATAAAAAAAAATTAGATAAGTGTTTTTACTAATTTATTATTGCTCTGTTCTTTAAGAACATTAAGCACTCTATTTTTTTCTATTTTTCTATATGTAGAATCAAGGCCGTCCTAAAGAGATTTTCAAGGGTGGGGGGGGGGGGGTGACGTGTCTGTTTTTTGCTATATAAACCAAAAAAAGATTTTTTGCTTAGTAACTTATCTAAAAAAAAAAAGGTCCTCGTTTTCCAATATTTGCTGACTGTCAACTATAAATCCAATTTTGCTGACTTTAGTGTCCAATTTGCTGACTAATAAAATTTGTAGGTGGGCTAGACACCCCCTATGCTCCCCTTCCACGGGGCAGCCCTGTGTAGAATGCACTGACATATTATATATATATATATATATATATATATATATATATATATATATATATATATATATATATATATATATATATATATATATATATATATATATATATATATATATATATATATATATATATATATATATATATATATATATATATATATGTGTATATGTGTATATGTGTATATATATATATATATATATATATATATATATATATATGTGTATATGTGTATATATATATATATATACATATATATATATATATATATATATATATATATATATATATATATATATATATATATATATATATATATATATATATATATATATACAACCCTTGGAATCAAGAAAAATGAGGTCGGCAATAATTTGCTGACCTCAAGAAAAAGAGGGCGGCATTAGGTCAGAAAATACAAAAATCTTACCATAAAACATCGAAACGAGGTTGGCAAAATCAAACTTTTTTGCCATCCGCAAACATGTTTAGGTCGGCAGTTAGGTCGGCATTGCCGAATGCCGACCCTAATTCCAAGAGTTGTATATATATTAGGTTAGAAAAACAAAAACAAAAACATACTGCCCAGTAATAAAACATTCAAGAGTGACAAAAGCAGTTTCTCCTTCAACAGCATCTTGCTTCTGTGACACATATATAATATCTGCAGTATTTTGTGTACTCGAACTCCCTTTTAATAAAAATATAAAACTATTTCATCAGAACTTTTCTAGCAAAAAAACAAGAAAGTTAAAATATAGAATCAAAAAATATACATACCAAAGATTCTCAATACTACAGTTTTAACAAGCTGATTAGCATATGGAACATTTTTATTTTGAAGAAAAGTATTTTCTATATAAAGTGTGTATGTTGCATCATCTGAGAGATCAAGATTGGATATAAATAATTCACCATTATTATTTATTCTTATTCTTGATGTTTCCGCTAATAAAACACCATTTTTACTCCATATATATTTTGGCTTTGGCTGAGTATCAACATCAGGTACAGCAGCATAAAAGTTATCATTAATTTGCTTAGTTACTCTTTCAACAACTGACACAATTCTTTCAAAGTCTTAATTTAAACAAACAAAAAATTATTTACATATAGTTCAATACATACAGAATATTTACATAACAAATATTTTTTGTTTGCGGCATTTTCTGCTAGTTAAAGAAGAAAGTAAGATAATTATTTTTAATAAATTTATATACACACAAAATTGTTTGCCATATTTTTCATTATCTTAATTATAAAGTTTTACTTACACATAAAGTTATTTTTGTTATATTAAAACATTAAATCTATTAGAATATTTAACTGTATTTTAACATTGCTTATGTGTCGCCTCTTAAAGGTACTTCAGTGTACTTTTTGGTAACACACAGATTTTTAAATTTTTACGATTAACTGCATAATAACTAATTTTACTTTTTTTTATTGTGATTATTTTTCATGGCTTATATAATATATTTATAATATATTTAATAAATAATAATATTCTCTATTTAATATAATTATATACTCTTTATATAATACTCTCTGTATATTTTAACCAGATCAAAGTAACTACTATAAAGTTAATTAAAAAGTTATTTAAAAATGGGGGTTTAAAACCTCCATTAAAATGTCTAAAAAAATAACTTATTTTTCAATAAGTTATTTTTTTAGACATTTTACAGCATTTATATACAACATTTTAAATTTTAATTAATTAATAAAAAAATATATTATTTTGTTTTGAAATAAGTTTAATGTATACATGTCACATAAGTTTTATCATATTATAAGTTAGCAATCCAAAGAACTTAAAATACTGAACTTTCATCTCAAAAGAATCTCCATATACTGAGACAAGCTAAAATCTTTAGAAAATAAGTTTAGAGTAAATTCAGCTTTACAAAACAAATTATTTGTTTAGTTATGAATAAAGAACTTCATCATTCTTTAATCAATATAAGAATTCAGAAAGATAGATCAAATCCACTTGCTCTGTTTAACGAAATAAGAAACAAATATAAAAAAAAAAAATCTTATTTTACAAAAAAATTTTAAAATAAATTACTATAATAAAATCTAAAAATAAAAAATAATATTTCATTTTTTAATTTAGTGAAAATTAATACAAATAAATTTGATCTGCTGATTACTGAAGAAAACAAAACACTGTGTATATTTCTACTAAATGTTTCAAGAAAAGCTTTATAAAAGTTTATAAACATTTTTCATTTTGTTACAACTACCAGGCATTGTCATAAACATGAAATTTATAAAATGAAATGAAGCACAAAAATTTTCTTTTTTAAAATTTAATAGCAAAAACCCAAACTTGCAAATTAAATTGTTTAAAAAAACTTCTGTAGTAAATTAGGACATATTTTTTTTTATATTTACTTTGTTCTCTTAGATTTATAACCATTAGAGTTTCAGGCAGATAATTTTATGTCATAGATAAAACAAACAACACTTTACTAATAAAAAAATTGAATGTTAAACTTCCTATAAAAAAAGTCAAAAAAAAAAGTAATTAAGATATGATGAGATTTCTTAAAAACTTGTACTTATTTTGAAAAAATATATGTCATGCAATGATCATTTTTAGAAAGTCGTAGAGTTTTAAAAAACTTAAAAGATGCTATAGCAACTAACATTGCATTTATTCTACCTTTAACAAAGTCATTAATATCATGCTTTTTACTCATAATATCATTCCTATGGCAACCTGACGGTGTAAAATAAATCAAAATATCATCAAAATCATAATACAATAAAAAAATTATTTGTATCTAAGGTAATAATGTCAGAAATAAACAATAAGTTAAAAAAGTTTAAAAAATGTACATGAATTTTTTGGTCACTACATGCACATCAAAAAAACGTTATAACTCTTAACCATCTTCATGTAATGTTTTTTTATACAACCTACAATCTTTTAAGTCTTCAGTTAACTGTTTCCTAGTATTTTAACTTATTCTCTATTTTAAAGTAACTCATACCTTAATAGTGGTTGCTTACAATATATATATATATATATATATATATATATATATATATATATATATATATATATATATATATATATATATATATATATACATACATATATATATATATATATATATATATATATATATATATATATATATATATATATATATACATATACATACATATATATATATATATATATATATATATATATATATATATATATATATATATATATATATATATATATATATATATATATATATATATATATATATATATATATATATATATATATATATATATATAGATACATATAAGTTAAAATACTAGGAAACAGTTAACTGAAGACTTAAAAGGTTGTAGGTTGTATAAAAAAAGAATACATGAAGATGGGTAAGAGTTATAATGTTTTTTTGAAACTTTTTATAGCAGAAGAGACAGTTAAAGGATGCAACTTGTTGAATAAGAAGCCAAGCAAGAATGGGTTTTGGTTGATTGTAGTAGTGATGATAGCTCATTTGAGCATTGACCATGATGGTATTTGTAGAAAAAAAGAAATACAACTCTACAACAATTAGAGAGTGGCTCAAACTTGGCAGATAAAGCAGGTCTTATTATATTTACAATGTGTTTTTAGACTTTGTCTGAGAGAAAGAGGGTTATTATTTATCAATATAGGAATGCCAACAATATTAAAATATTTTTTTGCAGTAAATAAAAGACTTTTGTTGTCCAACATATAAATTGTGGATTTTAAGTCCAGAATTTAAATCCACAAGCCACAGCAACCCTTAGGCTGATAAAGAAGAGAGATCAGATTAAAAATTGTCTGCTTGTCTAAAAAAAATTAAAAGTCTTTTTGTTAAAACAAGAGTATAAAGTTAAGTCGTCAGTAAATGACACTTTAGATGTAAAATTAAGAAACAATACAGGAGCAAAGATAAGAAACAATACAAGAGCAAAGATAGAACATTGAGTTACCCTTGAAGTTATTTGAAATAAAGAAGAGTGTAGGCCAACAAGAGTGACTTTAATACTGCAGTTAAAAAGAAATAATATAATAATACAAAAACTTTTATATAAAATAACTAATAACAGAGTGAAGACTAATTGTTAGATAGTTAGAGAGGTAAAAGTGTTTTCTAGAGTCTTGAAAAAATGGAACCACTTATTTAGCACTTTCTAAAAGTTTAGCAAAAATTTAAGAGAGTTCTGGAGAACACGTTTTATTATAAAATAAGGTGAGTCGCCCGGCCAGGCAACTATTAAAATTGGTTAATTTTTAACTTATTACTTAAATTTAAGTTACTGATTATTTAAATTAATTTTTTTTTGCCACTTTACCACTACACCACTACCGCATTATTCTTACAATAAATATAATGTATCAGGCTTGGTCGGGAAACAAGTGCGATCGCACTCAATTATTGACCACGGAAATAATATTTAGTTGCGAAAAACCAGTCAGATTTTTCAGTCGTTTTGAGAACAATTCAAAAACAAACAAAAAAGCACTGCAGGATTAACTGGACCGATGAGACAGTTAAAAAAAGAAAAATAGCTTTTAATGCAAAAAACTTTAAGCAAAGTAAATTTATTATAGCAGTTATTTTTGAAACGCTCTATTATAATTTTTTTTATAAAATTAAGCGACATTTTTTATATACAGTAACAACTATAAAGAAACAAATGTTCTTCAATTTATCAAAGAGTATATATAATTTTTTTTTAATATACTTATGTCTTATTTCCAGTGCTGGATTGAGGAGGTGGGGTGGGGGTAGTAGGGCTATAGCCCTGGGACTCACAATGTTAAGGGAAGTAGTCAAGAAGACTATTCAGGTTTTTTTTACGCTGTGGCACATAAAAAAGGTCGCCAAAATAATGCAGCCCCCGGCCCTGAAAAGTCCAACAAGATTCAACCAATAAAACTAACGCTAGATGATTTATTTATAAATAAAAAAAGTTTATTCAATAACTGTTTTATGCTTCGCGTAGTTTAAAAAGTTTAACACATTTGAAACAATTCTTCTTAGTAAGATGAACAAATAAAATAATTAAATCATTGAGTTATTGAAAAAATTCAATTAGCTAGATAGAAATTAACTAAAAACGTTACTTTGTGAGGAGAAAGTGGAACTGTTTCTCAATACCGCTGATAATGTTTAGTGAGTGGGCTTTATAACTTTAATACATTACATACATAAAAAATACATTACATACATAAAAAATACATCCCTTATATAAAAAATTTGGAATATACTAATAAAATCTATAATATATTTACAAAACATTGACAAGTTATAAAAATATAAATTTAAAACATTTATTACTGTAAACAAATAATGTTTATTTAAAACATTTATAGCTTTGTAGATGTGGCTCCGAAAATTAAAATAATAGTTCGTTTGATAGTATATTCTTAAAATAATTTATGCTAGAAATCTGAATGTAAACGTAACAAAGTTCAAATAACACAGTTTTCAAAAATATTTAAACAGAATACTCAGGACATTCGGTTAGTATTTTTTGAATACTCTAGAAATTTCGGTTAATATTTTTTAAACCAATAGAATTAGTTGTTCGTAGATTTGGCGGGACTTTTCTTTTAGCTAATATTCTTTTTTTATTTTTCCGCACTAAGATGTTTGAGAACATTCAAGTTTATATATGTTTGTATGTAAGTCCGTAAAACAAAATTTACAATAAAATGAACTTATTTTTTTGCGGACATACAAGGAAACATACATAAATTTAAATGTTCTCAAAACGGCTGAAAAATCTGGCCGGCTTTTCGCAACTAAATATTATTTCCATGGTCAGTTATCGAGGCCAGGAAGGCGTGCAATTTCATGTCATAATATGACCACGCAAATACTATTTGATTTTTCTTAACTTGACCACAGCTTTTAATATATTTTGAAAATTTGTATGTTTTAAGAACGCACTAAAAAAATTAACTTAACTATAATGAAACTTGTAAAAAAAAATTATTGTTAAAGAAGCAAATAAATCTTATTAAAAAAAATAAAATTGATAATAAAAATAATTTAACTTGAACTAAAATAGCAAAAATTAAATTAAAACTTGACTAATATAACAAAATAGAGAGAGGGTTATAGCCACAAATAAGTAGCCTCCTCGTCTGTAGTGGCCTTCTCGGCCTTGAGGAGGTGAATTAAAATAAAAAAAAAAAAAAAAAAAAAAAAAATGATTATCTAAAATATGTTTTTGTGTAAATTATGACTAATATAACAAAAAGACCTAAAATTATGTTATATTAATCTAAATTATGTTTGGAATAAATAACTTTGAATCGTTTATCCTAACTAATGTTTTTATAATATAATATTATGTGAAACTCTTTTTAAATAAAGTAACCGCTTATAACTGACGATTGTTTAATAAACGCGCACATTTAAAAGTTTAAAGAAAGATTCTTAACAATTCTTCGCACAAAAGAAAAATAATTAAATCCTTTATTTAAAAATTGATATAATTTTTTTTTATTTAAAAACATATAAAATTTAAAATTATTACTTATATAAATATAAAAAAATATATATTATTCATATTTTCAAAAAAGTTTGTATTTTTTTCTATTCTCAACAAAAACTTCAATGATTCTTCATAAAATTTATTAAAGTGACCTCTATTTAAAGTCGTCGTTTACATAATTCAATTTTTTTTTTTTAATTTTTACTTTTTTTAATTCTACTTATAAAAAAATCTTATATAATTAACTAATATAAATAAAATATTATATCTTTTAATGAAACTGAAATTGCTCATTTAAAAACATTAGCAAAGATAAGTGTGTCGAAGTTATATATTTTCAATGTAATTAAAAACCAATTTTATCAGCACATTTGTTTAAAATCGCGTGCAATTTCATGTCATATAAAGACTTGAAATTGCACGCCTTCCTGGCCAAGCATATATATATATATATATATATATATATATATATATATATATATATATATATATATATATATATATATATATATATATATATATATATATATATATATATATATATATATATATATATGCCTTCTCGTAAGAGGTGTGCGATCGCGCGCCTCATATGACTACGCATAAAGTTCTTTGTTTTATCAACTTGACCACGGCTCTTTGCAAGTTTTGATAATTAGTGCGTTCAAAAAATGCGCTAAAAAAATCAAAGCAAATTAAAATAAACAATCCATAAACTGAAAAGATAATAAAATCCTTAAAATAATATATAATACAAAAATTAATCTAAAAAAATAAAATATCAAAGAATGATAAAAAAAATAAAGGAAAAACCAGAAAAAAAAATCAAAACATTTATTAATTAATGTAAACTTAATTGTAAGCAAAAGTAAAAAAAAAAATTATGACACCTCTAATAATCTTTATCATTCCTTCCCATGAATAATTAGGCTAATACTAAGGCGAATCCATTGCGAGGGAAAGGGTCTACCCCTCCCCTCAGAATTTCTATTTATTTTTTAAGAAATTGATGTTTAAAAACGTAAGTAACTTAGGCTGTTTAAAAGTGCAACGAAATTTAATAAAATGTTGTGGTGCAAGTTTAAAATTTTATTAAAAAATTAATAGGATACAGGGTGTGACAAATCGACAAATATGTGCGCATTTCTTAAAAGACAGACAGAAAAACAAACATCACGTTTCTTTAACTTTGCTTATGCAAACGTTGCCGTTTGATTAGGATTTTTCAAAACGAACGTATTACTTCAGCAAATTTTTTCAAAATAATTTTGCGGTCATAAGTTTTTTATTTATTATAAAAAACACATATTTAATATGAAAAACAATTAATTCCACAATTAAACTAATGCATAATACATGAGTACTTTTTTCAATTGCGTCACTTTTATGTAAAATAACTAAGTACACTATAGAAAAAAAAAAAAATGTTTTAGCATGGTTTTTGCATGCGCTCACAAAAGCATACACAATTTTACTTAAAATGAATGCTTTTGCAAAAACATCAAGAGAAACCATGCTCAAACATTTCCATTGCTTTTTATTGAAAAAAGCGATTATAACGTTTAACGATGGTTTCTTTTATTTTTTTGCAATTACATCAAAAGTTTAAAGCAAATGTATTCATTATAAATAAAATTTAGCATGATTTTTTTAAAATTTTCTTATTTTCCATAAAGTGAAATAATGTTTGTTTGCATATACAGATATTAAAAAAAAAAAAAACGATATATCACGCTCTGAGATAAAAAAAAGTTAACAGATGTGATTGTTTCAAGATTATTGTAACTCCTTTTTTTTTAGTATATAATTTCTTAATTAGAAATTATATTTCCATGATAAAATGGTTTTTAATTATCTTTTGATAGCTTCTGTACTCATTTTGCCTTAAACTCTATTTTGAATATTTTTTTCAATAATTGCATTTAATTAAGTTGCATTAAAGTACTCAGTAAATTTTGAGAGAGTTTAATTGTACTTATGGAATCAATTAAATTCAAAATCGCATTTAATTTTTTTTGTTAGCGCATTTTTTAAACGCGCTAATTATCAAAACTTGCAAAGAGCTGTGGTCAAGTTGATAAAACAAAGAACTATATGCGTGGTCATATAAGACATACGATCCCACGCCTCTTACGAGAAGGCCTGTATATATATATATATATATATATATATATATATATATATATATATATATATATATATATATATATATATATATATATATATATATATATATATATTTATATATATATATATTATCTTACCCAGTCATAAACCCTGTTAAAAAAGGTTTTTGCCGGGGCTGGGGAGTAAAAAATCCCATAATTGGCCTGGGCCCTAGATGCGCGGAGAAACAAGTTGAGTTATTAAAAGAAAATTAAAAGGTTATTAAAAACAATCACTAGATTTAACATTTTTTTAACTTACATGCTATATATATTTGACGCTTTTGAGATACTAAACCTCCCAGATTATTACTTGCAACACACTGATAACGTCCAGCATCACTTTTTTGAACACGAGAAATTTTTAAATCTCCATTCGATGTTAATATATTAGTATCTAAATTTACAAGCTTATCATCAATAAGCCAATTTACAACTTTAGGATTCGGATTGCCTGTAGCACTGCATGGCAACAAAACCTCTTTGCCAAGTTCAAATGTTAATCCATCCTCTGGCAAGTTTTGAAATATAGGAGGAGAAAACTGACTTTTAATACCTTTAATTAAAAATAAAAAATTAAAGGTATGTTACAACATTGACATAAACTTAAAACTACACATTAACATCATACCTTGATAAGTTATAATAACTAAAAAAATTCCACAGATTTGCATATTGAAATGTTAACTTATTGAATTTTTCATAAGAGCTTTTCACACTTTTTTCACTCCACTCTAAAAAAGACAAATAAATTTAGTTTTAAATTGATCATATACCAAGCAAGAGTATTTATACATATACTATATGTCTGTGTGGATATATATATATATATATATATATATATATATATATATATATATATATATATATATATATATATACGGGCAATTCAGCGAGAGTGGCGGTCATAACATTTGATACTCTTTTAGTTATTAAAAATGAACCAAAAATGGAATTGACGTGAAACTTTTCAGAAATGTGAAATACTATCATACAATTTAGTATGTAAAAGTTGCAGCATTAAAGTCTCTAAGTTTTTTAAAAATATATAGTGGTGTGACGGTTGTAACTCTTACTTTTTACCACTTCTGAACAAAACAACTTTGGCAGACTTAATGCCGCGAACAACATGGTAAAAAAAAATCTTTTAGTGTAAGTATTTAGCACATATTAATGTTATTATATGCTGAATTTCATAGTTTTTACTTCAAGTTTTACAAACTTTTTTGTGTTTTTTTGTTGTGACGGTTGTAACTATGACGGTCGTAACAAAAAATCCAATACATAAAAACAAATTTTTTTTTTTTTTTTTTTTTGTAATTTACCTCCCCAAGGCTGAGAAGGCCACTACAGATAAAAAGGCTATTTGTGGTTATAACCCTCTCTCAACTCTATAACTCCAAAATATGAACATTGACAAATAAGGCTGATGCGTGATATATAAGTTTTGCAAAGAGTTGTGGTGATTGGAGCTTGGGAACAAAAAAAAACCAATTTTTGGGCCCACCCAGCCCTAAACGTGGGAGCAACACATTTATAAAATATTTTTTTTATTTTTATTTTAGTTTATATTCATCAAAAAAACTTCAAATTTCATGCAATAATCTCTTATATTTCAAAAATTATGACCATATAAAATTTTTAATCCCCTTCATGTTAAATTAAGTTATTAAATTGGTAGCCATCACTATCTTAAGTAAATTGAGAAAATCATCAAAAGAGACTTATGCTTATTTGTTAAAAAGTTAAATTTTACAAACTACTATAAGCCCCAATCTGTTAAAATGAGATCAAATTTAAGATAATCACTTCCTGTTCTAAGCAATCTAAGTGTAAGTGTGATCTAAACCACTTGAGATGTAAAGTTGTCAGGAGCATCATTAATGTAGATAAGACACAATACATGACCAAGGATAGAAACTTAAAGTACAGCAGAAGTTCATGTAAGATTTTATAGTTAGCTAGAAGGGTGATTAAATTAAGCATGTTTATGATAAATTATATCATTTAGTTTGCAGTATAATTAAATTAAATTATCATTAGGATTTTACGTTCAGATAGTTAACTGTTTTTAAATTACAGTCAATGGGTATATAGAGATCATTATTTCAAAAAATATAAATAAAAATACTTTTTTTATTATTTTCATTTGTGGGACACTCCCGTTCTTAACAATTGCTAAACTATTATCTCGATACAATCAAATTTCATCTTTGTATTAAGACATTATAATAAATATAAATTAAAAATCTTGTAAAACATCTTGAAAATTATTTTATTTAATTGTTAATTTTTATCACTAACAACTATTTTAAAATATTATTAAAAAAAATTACTTAATAAAGTTCTTAAAAAGTAAAACATTTGTAAATCGATTAACTATGAAAACTTACCTTAAACTGATTTTTAATAAGGGAATTCATATGCTTGACTGTGTAACTTAAATATATACAAATATAATAAGCGATTATTTTTTAGAATGTTAAAGCGTTGTACGGTAATGAATTATAGTGAATTTAAAATATAATGGTATAAAACAAATCTCGAGGTAATATTTATGTATATATTTTGTCCATAACGTGTTTTTAAATAAATTCTAATAAACGGACATTACTTAGCGCATCTACAGACTACGATCCGCCAAAACATGGCAAAAGAACATGTAATGCACGCACCTGAACAAATGATAACAAAATCAAATGACTTCTGATATTACAAACACGATTTTAGTGTGATGTGCTGACGTAAACATTACTATAATAATTTTTACGTAAACATTACTATAATAATTTTTATTCAAGTTTAAAATATACTTTAACTAATATTTGTAATTAACTAAAAATAGTAAAAGTAAAAAGTGTTAAAAAGTTTTTGAAATATTTTGTTTCTAGTAATTTAAAATCATTCCAATGATTAAGGCAATATTAGTCTTCAATAATCATGGAAAACCAAGAATGATAAAGTTTTTTACGCACTATGTAAGAATTTATGACGAAAAGAGTAAAAGTATTTACAAAAATATTTTAGTTTCATAAGTTAAAATCAAATGAAGTGTATATATATATATATATATATATATATATATATATATATATATATATATATATATATATATATATATATATATATATATATATATATATATATATATATATATATATATATATATATATATATATATATATATATATATATATATATATATATATATATATATATATAAATGAATTATAACTTATGAACTTTTTGTAAAATAAATAATTTCCTGTGTCATAAGTTTGATGAATATTTTGATAATTATGCTGATCTCTGAAGTGCTAACTATTATAGAAAGAAGATGTGCAGCAACAGATCATTCGTGAATCATTTCACCTAGTGTCAAGAAGAGACGATGCAGTCTGCAATTTTTTAGAAGGAGGAACGTAAGAAATTTTTGTTATGTTCTTTGCAATATTTATTACAAGTTCTACATAAGTAAAATTAACCTTTATATTTTACTATTACAATTAATAGGAAGTAATTTAACAGAACCTAAAGATGTTTAACAATTTAAAGAAATAATTTCAAAAACTATATATATTTTCTTTTCTACTTTGATTGAAGTAAAAACTACTAAAATTAAAATATAAAGTTTACTGGCTTTTTGAAAGCATCAAATGGCATCAAAGTTATTATTGTACATTTTAATTTTTTACAGTTATTTTTACACCTAATTTTTCAAAAGACTAGAGTTTCTAATCAATAATTACTCAATTTATATTGAAGTGCTAACTATTATAGAAAGAAGATGTGCAGCAACAGATCATTCGTGAATCATTTCACCTAGTGTCAAGAAGAGACAATGCAGACTGCAATTTTTTATGATATTAGTTTTCATCATAATGAATTATTGTTCAATTTATCATCACTCAAACTATCATCATGTTAATAATTACTTTGTAATAACTATTTATATTAGTTATCATCTTGATGCTCATAATGAACATTAGTTATCAATATAATAACCTGTTTTTCAGATTATAAATTTGATTAGAAAAATTGGAAATTTGTAATAATGTTAAAAAATTGTGCAATAATGAAAAGTAAAAATTTTTTAAATTCAAATTTTAGTTTCAGAAAGTTTTAAAAATATATTGCATGAAATTGATAATTTGAAGATTTGCCGAGACCATGAATCACATTAATACACAATACCACATTTTGTCTCTAACACTTTAACATAACTCTGCTCTCGTCCAAACTAAATAAACTCTAAACTGAATTGAGACTATTTTAAATTGTAAGTCTTTTTAAGAGTTTTTTTTTTATGCTAAAAATACCTTAGTAGATGTTTTTAGAATTTAAGTGTTTTTTGAAGTATATTTTAAAATTTGTTAAAACTTTAAATAATGCTTTTTTAAAGCGCTATTGTTAAGAAAATTGAAAAAAAAATTATAATTGTAATTTATAATTTTTAAATATTATTGTAAAGATATTTTTAATAATTATTGTGAACATGTCCATTGAAAATTCACTGTAGTTAACAAAATGTTTCCATTTTTTGTTATTTTTACTTTTAATATTTAATTACGATTTTATTTACTATTTAATAACTTATTTCACCTCAATGAATCTTGATGTGTATTTAATACATATTGCATTTGTGAACACATAATTTAAATAAACACTCTTTGTTAATTTTGTGCAGTATTCATTAATTGCAAATATTGCATTTTTGCACCTTGTATAAAAGAGAAAGGACATCATTAAAAGATCCGCCCTAGATATAGCAACACAGGCCATGTTTTAAAGCGTGTTTTAAAGCATGTTTTAAAGCGTAGAGCAATTTACGTATATTACGCCTTAAATTTTTACGTAAGCAGGAAGTGATTTCGGTAAAGCAACTTTTTATCATTTTTTAACTTTTAAATTATACTATATGCTGTAAGATAAAAGAAGTAAATAATTAAAAAAAAAAAACTGCATTAATTTTTGAATGGTATTTATGTAAATTATTTGTTACAAAAGTTTAAATGACAATTATGTTTGATATAAGCGCAATCTAAATAATAAATTTATTTATTATTAAATATTTACTAATGAAAAAATCTCAAATAAAATTACAAGTTTATTTATATTTTGTTTTTATTTTATTGTAATGATTGATTTTTTAAGCTTGAAGCAAAGATCATAAAAAAAAATATATGATATAATTTAAAATATATGATATAATTTAAAAATATATGATATAATTTAAAACTAATTTAATAAAAGTTTATAATTTTATTCTGATAAAAAAAATATATAATTTAATTTTGATTTAAAAAGTATACTTAAGTTTATAAAAATTATAGTTAATGCTAGGTTTAACTTAACTGTCAAATATATTCAAAAATATTACTAAATAATGTTTCATTTTTAAATTTTATTTGTTTTCAAAAATAATCAGCTTATTTTTATTGCAATTATTTTTTCGGTTTTCTTTCCTAAACCTTTTTTTTTACTTAAAATTAAATTTTAAATAAATGGCTGCATCAAAAGCTTGCACAAAACAAAAGTTAATTTTTTTTTTTTAAAAGGCAAGCTAAATTGTAGAGATTATTTTTTAATAAATGATATATTCAGCGATGTAATTTTAGTTATAAAATATTAAACTTTAAATAAATAAAGTGAATAAATAAACATAATTTTTTTATTTGTTACTCTCTAATTTTTTTTAACTAAAAAATCATTTGTAGCTGAGAAGCCGCAATTAGAAATTTAATAAATAATAATTTTGAGACTTAAAAATTTAACATATTTTAATTCATTTATGCAAATGTCAAGAAAAGAAAGGAATTTGTTAATACTAAACAATTTTAATGCAATATTAAATTTTAAATGCAGTATTAAATTATTTAATATTAAAAAAAGAAAAAGAAAATGAACAATCTTTTATAGTAATAATAAAGAAACTGTTAAATAACATTTAACTCGTTTTGCAGTAATTAATATTATTGCAGTAATTAATATTATTGCAGTAATTTAAATAAATTAATGTATTTAAAAAATAAAAAATGAAGAGAATTTACAAAATTTACACCCCCTCATTTTGGGTACGCGTCTGGAAATTTTGTATGGTCATAACTTTTGTAATTTACAATATTTTTCTATGAAATCTAAAATCTGTCAATAAATTTAAATTTAGTTTAAGATAGTTGAAAATTTTACTATATCAGTGCCCTCACGTTTGATCAGGGGGTGAAAACGTTTTAGGGCTTTTTTTGTTCCCAAGTCTCCGCCGTTCCAAATTTTTACTCAAAAAGTTCTCCTCATTAGGCATAGGTATAAGCTTACTTAAGTTTGGAGTTTGCACACTGTGTGGAAGTGTCCTATCTGAAACATCAAAAAATGCTGGGTACGCGTCTGGATCGGAAGTAAGACTTTATCCTAGAAGGTGAAGATGACTAATCGAGTACATTACCATTCATAAATATTGAAAAATCTAAATTATTGCGATAACAATTGGCTGAAAAAAATTAGATTTTATCTAAATTAAAGTTCACCAGCCACTATAACCCCCATTTTCAAGCTTGAATGCCTCCTTCAAGAAATCAGTGAGTGTTGGCTTTTGATCATGAAAAGAATAAATGGTAGTAACATCAGCAAACAATGCCACCTTTGATGTGAGAACTTCTGGAAGATTGTTAATATCAATTAAAAAGAGTATAGGGCCACAGATTGACCCTGAAATTACAGGGTATGGAGAAGAGTGTTTTCCATCAAGGACAACTTTTATACTATGATTGGAAAGGAAGGATTCGATATTCTTAAAGATGTTACAGATACACCATAAGAAGGAAGTTCATGAAGAAGACCAGTATGCTAAACTTTATCAAAAGCTTTAGAAATGTCAAGAGTGATAACCTTAACCTTTCCGCCTCTATCTAATGCACAATAAAACATATCAGTTATTACTGTTACCAAATCAGCTGTAAAACAAGAAGATTGAAATCCATATTGAGAACTTTCTTTTAAAAACACTATAAGCTGGACAGAAGGCTGAGATAATCGACTCCTTCTCTAATGGTGTGAGACAGGTTCATTATTAGCATTACAGAATGTCTTCTGAAACATAGCGGGATCTTACTGAAGGATATTTTACAGAAGAGTTGATGAAAAATCCATAACTTATGGCTGCTGTCCAAGCTCTGCTTAATGGACTTGTTGAAGAAGGAACAGGTTATGTAGAAACTTAGCCGAAATAGCTTGTAACAATAAATATATATTTGTTTTTTCTTACTGTCTTTCTGAATATCTTTACTCAATATATATACATTTGCAAATACCCCTCAGGTTATAATAAACAGTATAAACGTTATATACAATATAATATACGACGCGTCCACAACATTCCTTCTGACGCAACACAGTTATAGTTTATATATAATACAATTATTTACACTAATTACAGATCAGAAAGTAAGTTATTAAATTCGAGAGATTAGGTGTTTGTCAATTAAAGACTCAAAAACCTTGCTTATGATAAGAAGAAGACTAAATGGGACATTAGTAGACGAGTCAGATCACTCTACAGTAGGCCAGAATATTTTTTACGTGGCCAAAAGTCCCAAAAAAGTTAAATCTTCTAAACTTTTTTTTTATTTCATTATTGAAACAAAGGCGCTTTACTCCACTCAAAAATGTATCCGCTTAATTAATAGAGATTAAGGCAAGCTTTCCAAAACCATTCATAATGGCTTTAAAACTTATTATTTAAAACTTAGAACTTATTTTTTATTGCTCAAGGTTATAATTTTATTTCTGTTTTACAAATTAGTGCACATAATAATTTTGCATAAATCAAATGGTAAAAATAATATAAATAAAATCTTTGTCAGTATATTCCAAGTCAGCATAGTAATAAAATGACAAATCCGTGTTTTTATTTTCAGATAATTCAATAATGTCATTGTGCTCATTTAAAATTCTTATTTCATTTATGTTTATTGGCTTTAGCTCCTCATTTCTATCATCAAAATCATTATCTTAATCCAACTAGTTATATTTTTCATCTGCATAAATATTGTCATTTGTATCATTTGTATTTTTCTTTTCAGCATCATTTGTATTTTTTTTTCAGTTTCTTGAAAAAGAAAATCAACCGTGTCTCCATCTAGATTCACTTTTTTATGTTTACATTTTGATCTTGCATAGTTTAGAGATAAAAGAATTGGGTCACTAGAAAACATTAAATGAATTGGGCCGTCATTGTAGCTTTTCGATTAATTTTACGATTGTGTTGTAAACAAATATTTTTATTATTTTTATTCCTCGCTTCAATTGCTTCTTCAGAGTACATTCCAATTGGTAGCATAAATCAAGATATTGTCAGACTACTATGAATGAGTAGTTTGTGTACTGAGGCTGGCATGTAAAACCATGAGTACTCTCAAACAAAAATATTTGCTGTTTCCAAACAATATGTTTCATATTTGGCTATGTTAAGTTTATTATTCAAATTAAAGACAGATAGAATAATATATAGCCTGTATATTAAATCATTCTTGACTCCTGTTATTCTTGAAAACTCTGCTTGCTGACGAAAGGCACAATGAGCAGTATTGCCATCATTTGATGTTGCAGATCCGCCTTCAAGAGGCATGTCAACACTAAGGCCAATTTTTGCAAACTTATGCTGAACAAACTTTTTTTTTTACAGCTGCTAATTTTATATTTTTAGGTCCACGTATTTGCCATTCTTTAATATCAAGTCTATAACTTATATGTAGAGTACACTTGAATCATCGAATCCATGTATGTAATGACAATAACCCAAACTCTAAGCTTTGTGAATCTGTTGTACGGATCAGAGCTTTATCTAAGTTGTTCATTGATCTAGGAGCACATTTGCAAATATTACAAATTTGAGCTGATTTATTGTCACAAATTCCATTAACTGCTTTTCCATCAATCATTGTAAGTTTAAGATTGAATCTTACTTCAATTACAAGCTTCTTTTCAGGTTCTGGTTTCTTTATTTCTACATCAATAATCCTTGCACTCAGACATTAAAACTTTAAGCAGACATTAAAACATTACATTCATCATTGTTGTTTATTTGAACGGAAAATCTTTGTTTATACTGTTTTTGGTTACTTGCACCATAGAAACCCCATTTGCAATTTAAAGTCATTCCTACACAGGATTCAAAGGAATCAATTTAAGATATTCTGTTTTTAATAGTAGTTAGTTGCAGCATTTAATGTATGGTATAAGAATTCTTTCAGTGGAACTTCGCCTTTCATTCCGTTTTCAGCTATATAAATATCATCAGGATAACACTTTTTTTTTTCATTGCGAATGTTGTTATTTGTAGGATATGTATTTGCATTACACTTAATTGAGTTATTTCGTATAGCTTGATATTGCGTCTTCAATAAATTCATAGCTGTTATTAATGCTAATCCCTCTAGTGGCGTATTAGGTACAATTTGCTTGTTTTTTCCTGAATAAAACATTTTGTTTGATTTGCCGAATCTGTATTTGATAAACATTTTTTTAATACATACAGCAAACTATATCGCTTTTTTTTTAACCCTATTTCTGCTGCTTGTAAGATTTTATCATGATCATGATTTACTAAGAATATGGATGTGTGCCGACATTTACTTCGGTAGAACATATCTTCGTATTTCTGACTTGGTCTTCCAAATGACTGTTGAAATGAAACATTTAAGATTTAACACTTCCTAAATATCATTAATTCCAATTTCAAGAGAGAGGCATTTGGTTGGAATCAAATACTTAAATATTCAATTTTTACGCATTTATAGTAAAATGATTTTCTTTTTTTTTCCTTTTTTGAAAACATTAAGATAATAAAATAAAATTTATTTTAAATAATAACGGTTCAATGTTTTTAATAAAATTAAGAAAAAAAAAAAAAAACTATATTCCTAAAACAAATATCTAAACTTTAAATCGGTGTTTTTATAAAAGTAAAAAAAGTCATTGATTTTGAACTAAAAAATATATCATAAAGAATACATGGTTGCAGCTGTGTTTTTTTTTTTGTTTTTTTTGAACAATAACTGCAGTTTAGTAAATGCAAAAATCAGAAAATCAAACGATCTTTGAGTGGCGTTTAAAAAAAGGAAGATGAGAAAATTAAGAAAAACACCTTTAAAATACCAACAATTCTAAGACATATTATGAAAAAATTAAATACAAATATAGAAGGAGGAGAGCACCTTGGTTTCAGTAATGAAATAAAAAAAATTTTTAGAAGATTTGACTTTTTTCGGACTTTTGGCCACGGAAAAAAGTTCTGGCCCACTGTGCGCTCTCCAAAAATTTTTAAAATAGGGATAACAGTTGTTGCTTTCTAGAATGCTGGAAAACAAGACTCCAATAAATACTTGTAAATTGTTTTGAAAGTATAGATGACAGCTCCGGAAAACACTTCTGCAAGGCTACTACAGGTATTTTGTCTGGACCACAAATTGTAAAAGAGTCTAAGCAGAAGATATATATATATATATATATATATATATATATATATATATATATATATATATATATATATATATATATATATATATATATATATATATATATATATATATATGTATGTATGTATTTTCTGAATATATTCAGAAGATATATATATATATATATATATATATATTATATATATATATATATATATATATATATATATATATACATATATATACGCACATACACACAGTATTTTATAATTCAATACATAAAAATTTAAAAATAATTGTAAATCTTTTTTTTTTTAAATTAAAGATTTTATTAAATGAGAAAAAAAAAAGTAATAGATCATTTTGATTTTTTTTTTCAATTTTTAATTTTGTTATACTATATAATTTTTTGTTTGTTTATAATGATAATGCAGTTTTCCCTGATTATGATTATTAAAAAAATAAAGTTTTAATATCACAAATGATTAAATAAAAAATTTGAAAATTTTATTTGTTAACAATATATATGATGTAATTATTTTTATATTACAACTATATAATTGTATAATAATCGCATAAATTAATAATATAAATTGATGAAGCTGTTTATCACAAAATCTTATATAATTCAGTGCTCTTGGTGGTTCTGATTCTCGTTTAATATACAGACATTATGCTACCTTGTACTTTGTTTTTTGTGTTGATTCCTCTGAAAGTGAGTTGGGAATACTGGATCTCATACAGGTATATCTTTTAAATGAACTGAAATACAAATATCTGATGTAATTTTTTAATGTGATGATGTTTTAATATAAAAATTAAAAAGATAGTTAAAAGCTGAGTTATGGTTTAGTTAAAGATGAGTAATGAATAAAGATGATATTGGAGTTAGAGTAAGTGACTCAGAATCAATTGTATATACACATACACACATATAAACGTGTGTTTGTGTGTGTGTGTGTGTGTGTGTGTGTGTGTGTGTGTGTGTGTGTGTGTGTGTGTGTGTGTGTGTGTGTGTGTGTGTGTGTAAAGCCCCATTTCAAACAATAACATTAACAATGACCATGATCTAGACATTTTAATGTATGAAATTAAAAAAAAATTTCAGAGACTGACTCTTATCGTCATAAAGTGCAAATATTATCACTCGCACGAAAATCATGGAGACTACAAAGATATCAAGCTACTTTGAAGTGTCTGAGTATCTTATTTGAACTGCAAGAAAAGTTAAAAATGATCATGGAACTCTATCATTGCCGAAATAAAAAAAAGAAATAGTTTTCACTAGAAATAGTTAAATTAGTGATTAACATTTAACAAAGTGATAAATTTTTGAGAATGATGCCAAGAAAAAAAGATATTGTAAGTGTTGAGAAAAAGCAACATTTTTAAAAAAGATTATTGCTACTCAATCTTAATGAATTACATGTTGCATTTAAAAAAGACTACCCTAACGTCAAAGTCAGTTTGTCAAAGTTTTGTACTTTTAAACCTAAATGGTGAATTTACAACTAATGTGTCAGGTGCTCATAATGTGTGCGCATATATACATCACCAAAATACAAAATTTCTCATTGATGCCATTAATTGGAATAAAAGTTATAAAGGTTTCATGGCATTTTTTGTTCACTTGATAATGCAGAATGTTGCATCGATGTAGCCAATGCCCTGGTATTGAAAAATTTTCAGTGCAGGAGTTTATGGACCATGAGCTCAAAGAAGATGTATCATTCAAGCAATGGCAGAGTACTGATCGTACAAAACTACTATTACAATTATTGCCACCAGATAAATTTAATTATTTATTATGTGACAGCATTGACAACCTTACCACTCATTCATATATTGCAAAAACACAAAGTAGATACTTAAAAAAGTGCATTACAAATCTCCTTGAAACAATGGACTTCTTGGCTGGAAATATGGTTAGAAAACTACCGGTTGACGTCATATTCTTGGATTTTGCCATAGCATTTGACAAAGTGTCACATCAACGAATGCTTTACAAACTAAAAATGTACAAAATCGAAGGTAATCTTCTCAATTGGCTTTTCTACTTAACAGGTCTCAATGAGTCATCCTTGGTGACACTCAATCGAATTGATTACCTGATGACACTAAAATTCTGAGCATTGTCAATTCACTTGCTGCTCAACTTAATCTCCAATCAGATATTAACCAAATTGTTCATTGAACTAATTCTTGGCTCATGGAGCTAAATGCAAAGAAATGCAAAAAAAATGGCCAAAAAAAATTAACTCCTTTCAAGTACTCAATAGAGGAAATGTGCCCTTGTTCAATAACGACTCGAACTATATTAGAAGCAACCACCTCTGAGCATGACCTTATATTTTCTAAATAAACATTGCATAAACAATATTAAAAGATAATTTAAATATTATGAAAAAAAAGAATATTTTTTCCCTAACTGAATGCTTTTATTAATTAGATTTTGAAAAAATATTTTCTCTTAAGTGAACTCTTTCGACATTCATGAAAAATGCGAGCTGTGTACTGCTTCTTAACAATGCCTGTTAAAGTTTTTTTTTTTTTTGTCAAATAAAATTAAAAAAATAAAATAAAATAAAAATTTTTGTTTAAGCGATAAAATTTTTTAGTTTTTTATTAGGAAGTATTTTATTGAATACATTTAAACGCTTGTAAAATTTTCTCATGTTCTAATTAATAATAGAAAATGTAGAAAACAAAATTTGATACTGTAACTTTCAAAATATAGTTTTATTATCATTTTAGATGATAATAAAACTTTATTTTTTATTTATATAAAATTCTTAAATTTAAAAAAAATTAATGTTCTCTATTTTGGGCAACTTTATTCCATCAAATGATTATTTTTAGTTTCCTTTACAAAATTTGGTTACCTGATTGATGTATGTATTTATAAATATATATATATGAATCCAACATTGACTCAGTGACGGCTAAATATGAAGTTTTTTTCACCCCATTATACACTGGCGTATAAAATGCCTATATATAAATCAATGTTTCACAGGAAGGTGCGCACCATTATATGACCAGACAAATAACATTTTGCTTTGAAGATTTGATCGTGGCTTTTTCAAAAATAAATTATTTCAAAAACGTGCATAAATTACACAGCAACTTCTTAAATAATGTTTTTGTATTAGCGAAACTCTTTTAACTTGTTTTAAGTATCATTGACTGCTGTATATAATTTTTTAAATTTATGTTATATAAATTTTTAAATTATGAGTTTTTTATAATAAACGTTATTAAAAAATAAAAAATTATTTTGTTTTTGCAAACAATGGCTTTCTTAGGCAACGAAAGTCTCTTTAACAATATTTAAGTATGTCAAAAAATCACATTGTAATAGGTTGGAATTGACGAAGGAGGTGGGTTCCCGAAAGTTAGCTTGGGAGTTATTGAATTAAATCATGAACCTAGCATTCCCCCAGCAAAACTTAACTGCCCAAGCGAGGTTTTTAAGGATACTGGTATCAAACCTGCTGTCTCTGTGGAGCTTCAAGAAAATTATACTAATGTTTTGCAAGTATTTGATTTGATTAATTTGAAAGACCAGAAATTTGTCCTGTTCTGTGATCTAAAACTTGCAAATATTATTTATGGGCTTTAAGCATACTCAAATGCACATCCTTGCACCTGGTGTGAATCTGGCTCAAGGGAACTTAAAAAATCAAGGGAAATTGAGGACTTTTAAATCTCTGGAAATAAATGTCTCACTCTTTAATTCAGCAGGTTCCAATATCAGAAAAGCTTGTGACTACAAAAATGTTAACCATGCATTTTTTTTTTTTTCTATGGAAAAGATTTCATTTCAGACATAGCCAAGCACTTGAGCTGCAGAACAGCCTGAAGTGCCGAGATAGGTTGTGTTCATTATGTTAGAGAATGATTTAAAAAAAAATGTTTCAGATGAATTTTTTGAGTAAAACAAAGCGATATATGTATACCAAGAAAAACTATCCATGTTAAAATCCATGAAAATATATCTCCATGTTAACCAGTTCCTTTAAGTCTTTTAAATAGCTGCAATCTACAGACTTTATAATTAGCATATGACATCATTTTAGAATTTCGATAAGAAATCTATTCTTTTTTTCATCAAATTATAGAATTTTTTTTTTATCATAGATTACTAAAAAATTTGTTTAGTTATTATTATATAAAAGTTTGCTTATTTTCATTATAAATTACTATTTTTTTAGTTATTTAAAAAAAAAATTTTCAGTTATTTTTACAAACACAGCCCAGAAATTTAAGGTTTAATTTTACTATCCGTGTATTCCAAAAATGTTAATAATTATAGTAAGTGGGGTACCTAACATAAAATAACTTTATATTCCAATTTTTTGTTTTTTTAATTTTGTATTTATACATCAACACCATTAGACTGCTTTAAGTTGGCGAAAAAAGTTTAGATACGCTTGAAATTAATTTATGAGCATAGTATGCTTAGTAAGGTAGAACATATTATTAGTATATAAGTAATTTAGTAGAATATTAGTATTGTATGCATCATTGCTTAATAACCTAATGTATAAACAATAATAATATAATAAATACTTAATAAGATATTTTAAAATCGTTTATACTAATGTATAAACGATACTAATGTATTTTTGTTTTTTTGAATGAACTTACAAAAGTTTTTAACCTAAAATTTCAATAATGTTTGTGTTTTGATGTACAATTGATGTATGTTCAATAACTTGTAAATTATTTGAAATTAACACTTCAGCAATTCTTTTGAATCTTTCCTTATGTTTGTTGCTGTATTGCAAAACTCCAACCTGTTTGTTATACTTTTCAACTTGGAATGGCAAGATGCAGATGTCTGCTTGTTAAACTCCCCATGGGAAAATCAACAAATGTCCCCAGATGTGTGGTTACAGTTTCCAGGTAACTGTGAGCTCTAAAAACTAAAATAATTTACTATAAATATGTTTACCAATAACTTCGTTTCAAATACAAAGGTTAAAGAATACAGTGATTACCTCTCTGCAATAGTCTTGTGCATCTTTATAACTTTGTGTAAAACTTTCAATTAAAATTGAATAGTTTGGGTCAAGTTTATAGCCAAAAACACCAAGAACAACCTTATTAAACTTACTTTTTTTTTTTTTTTTTTTTTTTTAACATCTTTACTTCCAACAAGGCTGCAAGCAACCACTATAAGAGTTGGAAGTTACTGGAAGAGAGAAGACTAAATCTGTAGAGCAAGATAACGATTGACTGATGACTTAAAAGATTGCAAATTATATGAATCAGGAAAGCAAGATGAAGGAAGCGAATTCCAAAGAACTGATGTTCGAGGAAAAAAACTAGAAGAATAAGAGTTTTTGAAGCACTTAGGAACAGTCACAGAAAAAGGATGAGACTTAATTGAATGGCGAGTAACACAAGAATGAATTTTAGTAGATGGCACAAGGGACGCTAGCTCTTTAGAGCAGTGCCCATTATAGTATTTGTAGAAAAGAGAAAGAGAAGCAACATCACGACGATGTGACAAAGGTTGGAGATTGGCTGCCAGAGCAGGTCCAACTATGTTTACAATTCGTTTTTGCACCTTGTCTAAAAGAGAAAGAGCATCATTAGAAGATCCGCCCCAGATGTGGCAACAGTATTCCATACAGGGACGGATTTGAGATTTATAGAGATAGAGAATAGAATCTGGAGTAAGAAAGTGTCGAGCTCGATAAAGAGATGCAACCTTAGCAGATGCTAATTTTGCAATG